CTTATATTACACCTATTCACCTCCCTCTCTAGGTGCTATTAGGGTCGAACTTACGTTTTTCAATTTTCATCCAATACAAAAGGGATCTAACCCGGCATAATTTTATATAAATTACAAATAAAATAATAGAAAAATATCACATGGATCATGAGAAAAATACAAAAAATCTTGATCTTCAATTCCAATGTTGAATTCTTCAAAATCTTGGTATAATTAGATTCAATTCTTTGCTAGGGTTCTCTCAGCGTGCATGTGCCACTCAAGTGCTTGCCCTTGCGGCCTTTTTGTCGTGTAGCTTTCTATTGATTTTATGTAGATTATTACCACGTACGCCCCATTGAACTTCCAGGTTCGTTGTATTTGTTCCTCGTTTTTGTATAATATGATTCAAGAGTCCCTTTTTTATATAATGTTAGTCCTTTAATTACCATTTTCTTCCAATTGAGTGCAGGCATTTTCCAATCGTTGAAATCAAGTCCGAATTAATTATTTGAAAATGGCAATTTAGTTCTGCACTTTGTATTTCTTCCTTTCTCTCATTTTTTTCCGATCCTTCGGTGCAATTCAACCAATTTATGCCGAGTTTTACATAACAAGCAAAATTAAAACATAATTAGGCTATAATTATCAAATTTAATAACAAATATCCTAATTTATTGGTCTAAATAAGTATATAAAACACACTTATCATATTCAATGCTAGATTGGGCTGAGACCTAAAACAACAAGATTCTAATTTAATGATGCTTTCTTATTGCCCCTTGTCTGCAAAATTGCATTTGACACACTGAAATTCAGTTATGCATACAATTGCCAAAGCAGTTGGAAACTTATTCTATGATAGAAATCCGTTTAAGAAGGTCCGTTGTCTGTATCCTTGTGACGATACTTGTCACAACAGGATTTTTATCCAGAGAATCCATCAGTATTGATTTGCTAATCACTGGGACAACAAAAGTCATTCTTTAGAATTATTGACAGAGAAATTGAGAATGCTACAAGGAGAAATAAAATTCAACTATTAAAGGTATAGAAGAAAAATGAAGAATCCATAATTTATTAATGCTTTATGACAAAGGAAAAACACCAATGAAAAAACTGTGATTGATGATTTTATTCTTATAATGTATTATACATATAATATATTAATATTCTGAGATTGAGTGGGATTTTAATTATCCATGTTTCAATAGAGAGATATGTATTTTTTGTTAAATGTAGATAGTAGATTTTGTTTTCAATAAGACTTTCGCTACTCGCTGTTTACTATGAAAAGATCAAACTTATGAATTCTGTAGAGAAATACTTGATTAATTATCAATAAGAATTTTTAAATATATAATTATACACAAATTTCAAGGGATTATTAAACTTCACACACACACACACTCTCTCTCTCTCTCTCTTCAATTCTCTCCTTATGATCTTACAAAAGAATATCCGAAACATAGACGCATTTATATTCGCCTAAAACTTTTCACTTAAAGAGTAAATTTTGTTTCCTAAAGAAGAATATTATTATCACTATTTCAACTTTATAATTTTGTGATGAGTTATGATAATACAAGGTATATAATATATTTATTCTCATACATAACAATATGTTGTGATAACTCAGCAAAAAGTAAAATTTTAAATATAAGATTTATGGTTATGAAATATTAGCAATTTGGGTCAATAGCCTTATCTTTTTTGATACATGTGTAATTTTATAAGTAGTTGGAAGTTCCACGTCAATGGGTACCTCAATCACAAACACAGGCTCTTAATGGAGCCTCTACACCCGGTACATCATCTATAGCATCGTGTACTTGCTCAACACAATGTACACGATTATTTTTACATTCATCTAAGCAATAGTCATATTCAGACATATCTCCCATGCATTCATAGTTGCAAAATCTCAAACAATCTTTTGGTCTGCAGTTGGAGCCCATAGCTAAACCAGAATCTAGCCATATTGCCATCATCAATATCAGCCCGATCAAAATATTCCTCTCGGTGTGCATGTTTCTCTTGTCTAAATTTTTATTTGCCATATGCTACTGATGCATTTAGTTCTTAAATAGATTAATATATATAAGAATCACCATGTGCATGTAAATCATAAATGTAAAGATAAGTTATAAATGCAAGTATTTATTTTTACGTTTAATTTCATTTTGATATATATTAGGACATACGGTAACTTACGAAAAAGTCGTATTAATTGACTTCTTAAATGTACGCATGCATACAAATTTGTGCTCTTATAAAGTTCGACTAATGAAGACAATTTTATTAATTCTATGTTCTCATAGTTTGTGTCATTAATATGCCAATTCTAACTTATTTCACAACTAACTCTTGTTTGGTGGAGATTAAAATCAGGTTTTTAGCAGATTCCGATAAAAGTTGATGAAATACATGATTGAAAAGATGTGGGTCCCATAAAATATGTTGTTAAAAGTAATTGTTGACTTTGACTTATATTAAAATTTGGATTTCAAGTTGTACCAAATGGGGGCTTAATGTGTTTTTCATAATTACTTAAGCAATGCTAGGGATAAAATCTAGATTTTATTAAAGTTAAAGTCAATGAATAATTTTAACCACATATTTCATCGGACCCAAGAATTTTCAGCCACACATTACATTAATTTTGATCAAACTTTGCTAAAAATCTGATTTTAATTCTCACCAAATAGGAGCTTAATATAAGAATTTAGACTTTTTAGGCAATTGAAGTGTCCAAATTATGAAACTTTGAAGGAATTGCTATAGCAACAAGAATGACATCATGAGGCATAAAATCATAATAGGATATTATCTTTTCCTTTCTCCGGTGGGGATAATTAAGGGGCAACGGTATGCTGCTATAAGTTGATAAAAGTCTGTGGTCCCATGAAATTTGTGGTGAAAAAGTGTTTAAAAGTTTAGGGTCTAATGAAACGTGTGGTTAGAAATGAAGTTGACCAGTTTACCAAACAAAAATAAGTTTAAGGCAATGTCGATTTTAAGTTTGAGGGCCGGAAAAACTTTAAATTTTTACTTTTCGTGTGTTTTTGAGTATTTGTGTGCTTGTTTTTAGTATTTCATTAGTATACATGAGAAAATAAAAAAAATTAAAAAATTAAAAAGTTAAATATTTTCTTGTTCTAGGTTGTGTGCTTGTGTATATTACATAGCCTGTAACGTCCCAAATTTTATAACCCCGAAGCGTTACCAAACCTGAATTCTTTACCATAAATCTTTCAAACACGATATTAAGACAAGTTTTTAAATTTGAATTTATTAATAAATATTGAAAAGTATTAACATTTTTTAACACATGGACATAGAAACATACAGAAGAAAACGATTTGGAAAAGGGCTTTTTTTTTTAAAGCAAGCGGAAGCAGTTTTCTTCGGTTGTACAGTGAATTTGCAAAAATTATTTCACCTAGTAAACCTTGGCAAACATTTATGAAATTTTTTGCTAAAAGTATATAACTCATATAAGTACAACATATAAAAATTCAAGATCTCGATGACGACGTTTAAAGCATGAAACTATTTTTCAAACATACTAGTCTGTGGTTCCCAACATTAACAACAACTCTTAAGCCTTTTGACGCACAATAAGTTTGATTAACAACAAAGAATTACGTTTGTGTTCATTATAATACTTCTTATGAACAAGATCGCATGAAATTGCATTAATTAAGACTAATCAATAGAGTAAATAAGGCTAGGAACTTTTTCTTTTTTAATTTTTTTTTATATATTTTAATCTTACATATATAGTGAACTAACATTAATTTAAAAACACTACAACAAAAATAGCTTTTTACGGCATACGTTTACGGCGTGCACTTGAGGCGTGCTGTAAAAAGTCTCTTTTTACGGCGTGCAAAAAATGCATGCCGTAAAAGATCAATTGCANAAAATGCGTGCCGTAAAAGATCAATTGCATAAAGTATTTACGGTGTGCATTTTATGCACGCCGTAAAAAAGGACCTTTTACGGCATGCATTTGCTGAAAAAATATTTACGGCGTTCATATGCGCATGCCATAACAATTGACTTCATGCCCTCATAAAGTATTTACGGCGTTCGTGTGTGCACGCCGGGGAAAAAAAATCCATCTGAAGTATTTATGCACGCCGTAAAAAAATTTGCTGTAGAAACAAGTGGCCCATGTTAGTTGGCCCATTAGAAGCCGTTCTAATCCAATTCCCATTCTTCCCAACCTACTACAAACCACACGTGAGAATTGAAAAGTCCCTGCATCCAATTCTCCAACCGATTCTTCCGAACGTCTACGCACGTCCACCCATTCTTCCGACCATTGCATCCACCATCCATGAACGTCCCCTGTTGATGCTAGTGGTGGATTGGTGTGAAGTTTGAACCACAGTCTATAGAACCAGGCCCAGCAGCAGCGAACGATCATCGACGATAGCTACGAAGTCCGCAAGCGGTAGGTGAGTTTTTTAATATTTCTATTGCCTATGGGTATTCAATATTCATTTGCTAATGGTTGTATTGATGTAGAGTATACGTATATGTAATGGGTAACTGTCCGTATGACTTGTGAGTTTGAGATTTGGAGAAAATTTCGATTTTGGCAAAGGAAATTTTGAGGTAAGAAATTCCTTTTGAGTTTGGACAGGTTACATGAATTCTTTTGTAATGCAAATGATCGTTTTCTGCTTTTTCTTGATTTGGGTTTTTGTTTTTATCCCTAATTTGTGCAATTTCTTTTATTTCTTATGTGTGGTGCCTCTTTTCTTTTCTTGTTATGTGATAATTCACAATCTGCAGTATAGAATGGGAGGGTGGAAGGATGATGATAATATAGTGTATTGTAGGGAAGGCTGTGTGTGGGAAAGAGTCATGATAGAGCCCTGCTAATTCTATAGATGGTCTGCAGCTCCATGGTATATGGACAGTGATAGAGCCCTGCATTCTAACGTATCTTTAACACTCTGTTACTGAGGACCTTAGGAGCAATTTGCCCTTACCCCTTACTGAGGACCTTAGCTGACCTTAGCATAGTTGGCTGCTGCTCCACGCCCAATTGGTGTATAATAAGCACTGTTTAGCATAAGGTCACCTTCCGATCTCCAATTCCAGTGCCTCCAAATCTTATTACCAGTGACAACTCTCTTTGTTACCTGTCAGTCCATTAACTGCTTGGAGCAATACCATATTCATCAAAAGTAATTTAGGATGTCACATAGTGTCACTTGTATATGATTGAGGCAACAACTTAATAAAATGGTAGAACTAACCTCTTTAGCAAAATGGTTGACAGGGGCAAGATATCTATTCCCCTTACTGTTAATGGTGGGATTTGCACTTCCACCAATAGAGTACACCTCCCAATGAGTATAGTCATTGTTAACAATGTGGAAGTAGCCGTGTCTACACCTGTACAGATTGTTAATCTCCACTACCAGACAGATTGTCACCATGCTCAACATTCTATAAAACATGTGTACTCTGTGTTGCCTATTTTAACCAAGTTCTCTATTAATTTCTTAACAGATTGCAGTAGTATTGAAGGAGTTTGTGACTGTTCCAGTGTTCTCTATTTTAATTCAGGTTTGAATTATTTTTTTGCAATTTTAGTTTGCGTGAAACTTTATTGTCACCATGATTTATCTAATTGGAACCTAATTTCTATTATGCCCTAATATAATCGTTTTTTGTTTCATTTTTACTGTGTTGTAACAGATTATAAATTAATACTGTTGGTATATTATCATGGATGAAGATTGGGTTCACTTATCAAACTCGTCCTCTTAAATTTATGATATTTTAAAATATGTTCATAAATGCTTTTTAGGTTATTTATTTAGCATTATTTTTAAGATTATTTCTTGCTTCATTTTAATTTTCTATTTATGTGGTATTATATTGATGTTAATGTCATTAATGTCTCTCTAATTCACTACAACAAAAAACACTTTTTACGGCGTGCAATGCGCGCCGTAAAAACCAATTTACGGCGTGCGGCCGCACGCCATATAAAGCAATGCCGTAAAAAATATTCACCTTTTACGGC